AACAATAAGAATGCAACCAAAAACATCTTTTTATTACGCTTACGAATTTTCAAAATCAAAATGCTACAATGATGTTTCATAATTTTCTCATTCTCCGTGAATCATCATAATATTACTTGGATTATACAATAAACCATGAAATAACCCACACTAAACTGAAGTTAAACGAATCAAGAACGGAACATATACTAAACAAAATTAACCGTCGGTAACTGTCGACTCGCAGGGTGCGTATTGATTCTGAAACGTTCACCTTCTTTCGCCCAACGACCCACGTCCAGTTTTGCGAACCGTAGATTTGGTAAAGCGAATCTGTCCAAATGAAACTGATCATTGCATTTGAAAGTATATTACAACAAATGAATAATCGAACAAAACCGAATCAACGAAACCAATCCGCAAAGGCAAAGACAACCTATCGCTGAGCTGCGAAAATACCGGTGCAATGTGTTTACATTCTGGTGACCAAGTTGTGTAGAACTGCACTAACCACGTAACGCGTTTATTTTTCTGTATCTCTTCCTGTAACCATGAAAGGAATAGCACAAAAACAACAACAGTAAAACAAATTACCGAATTAAAATAGTCACAATTATTGATAACGTACAAATTCATAAAAATTGAAAAGTAAAACTAGATGAAATAAAACATTACAAACATATCAAAAAAAATTCGCGAATAACAAACATATAATTCAGCTCCATTGAAATATGTAACTCTTTCGGGTCCTTTATAAGCTGGTTCCGGGAACAATACAGCATGAACTGCAAAGAGATATTACATCCAGCAAGCAGTTCATAATGACAATGGATCACTTTTGATAAGGATGATAATCACAATGAATTCAAGTAATACCCATAAGGAGGAGATGGTAACGCTGACGGAAAACCATAAAAATAATTACGATACGAAGCAAAAATGAAAATAAAAACACTGTGCTCTTGTTAGATACCGCATTAATGAATAACTAACCAATGCAAATCAGCACATAAATAGTACCAACAAACGGTTCAGCCCTCAAAAACAAAAAAATGTTCGCCATTTTCGAGAAAAGAAATACATTCGCCAAGTAATGTAACCAATTCGACGCTTTGCGATTCTTCCATATTATTATAACGCCCAAGAAAATGAGTATTTCGTGTTCACGCTATAAACTTTCACTTTATTAGAGTCAGTGCACCATACCACATTAACCACTCACCATGCTGGCATAAAGCATGTATATCATATTGTAAAAATACACCACAACAAAAAAAAATAATTCATTCTATGACAATAAAATATCAACATTACTACGTTCGATCAGACTAGATATCGCTAAATTTCAGCATTCAAAATTTTGCGTGTTCTCATCACATAAGATATAAGGCATTAACAGTAGTACTGCTCTTTTCTATAGTAAATGGTATTGTGCACAGCATAAAATCATGTTGAGACGCATGCACAAGAATGCAATCAACATCTTTGCTTGAATGCAGTGATCGCATTCTTTGAGTGGTCTTTTC